TAAGTTTCCTGTTGGGGCCCATCGGTATTTAATGTTTTCCATTGAAAGACGTGTAGTAATCGGTTTTAGATCTCTCCTGAGTTGCAGAGCGTCCGGTGGTATATCCGGGAAAATGTAGATGGCATCATTTTGAAACTTAAAGTTTCCCACCTTCTTTGTTTCTGGCAAAATGTGATTTCTAACTTTAAGATCCAGGAATTCTATTAAAATGTCCCGTGGACTACGGCGTTTTTCTGGTATGTTCGGGCCCAAACGATAAGCTCTAATGAGGACGGGTTCGGCATCTTCTTCGAACTCAATCACCTCCGTCAGCCACTGTGTTATAAATACCGTGAGTTCCGTTTGTCCTTCCGCCTGTTCTCCAAATCCTCGTAATTTTAGGAATTTTTCACGCATTCTGTGTTTGAGAGTCAGAATACGCTCCTTTGCCCACGTTTCCGAGTCCTGCAGGGACCTTATATCTTCTTGATTAGCGATCGATGTTTCAATGGCTGTTTCCGCCAATTGGGCCACATTTTGCATCACATTTTGCAGTTCATCCATTCTATCTGAAATGGGTTTCATTATTTCGTTAATAGTGTCTAGCATTTCTTTTTTGAAGTCTAGAAGCCAGACTGCAAAGTCTTTTTTGGTAAAGTTTTCCGCAGGCTGGTCCTGTGTCTTTGCCACATCCGCCATTTTGTGGATAGCTGGGGCCGTATTCGTTTTGTTTGCAGCCGCAGTTTCTTGTTGAAACAGCCTTTTTAGCTGTGAGTTTGGAGTAATTTTAGAAAGTTGTTTGCATGTAGGTATCTTTCCCATACCTTGTCAAGTGCTGAATCGGCGTTTAAATTGTCGTTTTGAAGCGGGAATCGGGCAGAGTTCGGGAGCTTTCCAAAGTCGCGTCCACCATCAGCCCGGTCAACGCTCCACCCCCCCAGATAATTTCTAATCTCTTCCTGAAATAGTGCTCACAAACAGCCTTTTCTCATTTAATAATACAAATAAAGGTATTGCAATGGGATCCTCAGTGTTCCCAGAAGCTGCCAATTTATAGATGGCCAATTTTGAAGATAAACTTATTTATTCTGTTAATAACCCTTTCCATGGTTGTACCCTTCAATGGCGGTGGTATCTAGATGATGTCTTTTTATTATGGAAGTGTGGTAGAATTTCATGTTTGGCTGCATGTACAGGACGAAAATATTATATTTGACATTCATGTGGATGTCAATAATTTTTTTTTTAACAGAGAGAAGAGATTGGATTTACCCGAAGGAGTCTCAGTGGCTTATATTCTCCTTCCCCTCTACACAACAGACACCCTGTGAGGTTGGTGGGACTGAGAGAGCTCTCTCTTGAGCTGCTTGTGAGAGAACAGCTTCGAGAGAGTTATGACTGACCAAAGGTTACTCCAGCAGCTGCATGTGGAGGAGCGGGGAATAAAACCCATTTCTCCCAGATTATCTACGCTCCTAACAACGACACCAAACTGGCTTAGAAGTCATGGTCATAAGGGAGCAGGGTAAACTCTATACAGATCTTGATTAATAGAACAGATAAAAACTCTTTTGAGATATGACACAACCCCGAAGTAGGTCAGTAAAATGGGGCAGAACTTGGAGCTCTGAAGCAGGCAGGGGGGCTAGAGAGGAGGTCAGAAGAAGCTGGACAAAAAAGGTAACCCTTTCTTTCCTCCTTTAGTCTTAATGATTTTACTACTCACAGCTAGGATGACAACAAGTGCTTTAATACATTTTCAGTGCATTCCAAGCACTGGGGGAATCCTCTTCTCATCTCCTTTTGTTGGAAGAGAAGGCTTTGATGCTGTCTCTTAGCCTCAGACGCCAGGGAGGGGGTCTTACAAATTAGTCTGTTGGGTAGACAGGCATACTGGGGGTTCCTTCCTGTTTACCCTTCCGCCTCTGTCCCTTTGATACGTAGACTGATAACTTATAGGAAAATTGCCTTCTCACTTCCTTCCATTCTCTCTCTCTCCCACACAGACAAAGAAAGAACATGCTCCTCTTCATCTTTGGCACCACGGGCGCAGGGATGCTCTATCATTCCACACCCATCCTAGGTAGTTAGAATAGATAAATCCTATACCCATCTCTCACCTTTACTATCTAGAATGTACTTCCAGAATAAAGGCTTCTCATCGCTTTGCAACTTCAAGAGGCTCCGTGCACACCCTCAGAAAAAAGAAAGCTTCTGCTGTGTTTTTAGCCATAGTGCACTCTGCTACTTTCTTCTAACACCTTTTGTGATTACCATCAGTCTGGATCCTTTGTCGTCCCAGTGTTTGAGCAGTAAGAAGACACAGAATCAAGAGTTTCACTCAAACCAAGGGTAGCAGTTTATTAGAGCACGATATAGGCAAGAGATGAAGGAAATGCCTGCTCACAGAAGACAAACAGAATAGACCAATGAAAAGGCTAAGCGGATAATCTAAAATAAAGACAAAATACTTACATCAATGATATGACTTAAGCACACAGAAAATGATACGTAAGATATATGGAGGTATTGTGGAGAGAGCATTAATGAATTCTAAAACAGCTGATAATCACTGCAATCAATTAGCTTATACAGGGCTTCTTTTGTAGAAAAAGCCCAGCAGGAGCTCATTAGCATAGCAGGCCACACCCAACTTAAGAAACATATTAGCATATTAGGCCACACCCCGACCGCATATTAGGCCACACCACGTGCCTTCCCTTGGAAGGATCTGTCCTGCGAGGAGCCCGGGCAAGCCAGCCCTTGGACAAATCCTTCCAGGGCCCCACCTGGCCCACTTGCCTTGGAGTCGCCGGGGGGTCACTTTCCAGGCCTTCCCTATGTAGCCACACACACAGAGAGATTTTGGCTGTAGTGGGTGTGGCCAACTCTGTGCGTCAGAGCTTGGAAATCACGGCTTTCCAGCCCAGCACCCACCCAGTCTCTTGGGCAGACTGAGTCCTGCTGTGCTCAGCCAGGAAGAAGTTGCCAAAAGAGAGCGATGTCAAATGGCACCCCATTTTGCAGCAACACTCAGTGTTTTGAACTGTGCCACTAGAATGTCTTTGATTTGGAACAGGAAATTGGGGACACCAGCACAGGATGTCCACAATTCCCGTGTGGCTTCTGGGCACTGGGTACATTGAATTGAGCAAAAATGAAAGGGCTTCTGTGAAGAAAATTTAACATTTTCCTTATTTGCCCCTGTGGCACTCAATCATACAGTCTACTCCAAAAGGCATCCCATTTTGTAGCAACACTCAATGTTTTGAACTGTGCCACTAGAAAAACGGTGGCCAAACAGTGGTTCAGGAGCCACATGCGGCGCTTACACATACATTATGCAGCTCCCAGCAATTGGTCTTCCTTCCCTAGCCAGTGTTCCCCTCCCTGGGTATGCTTGAGCAGGGAAAGAAAGCAACTTTTCATTTTAAATGTGTTCTCAGAGCCCCCCACCCCCCGCTGGCCGGCTTGGAGGAAGCATTTGTCTCTTTACATCCATTCTCCAAGCCAAGCCAGCCGGTGTGGGGGAGTGGG